CTATATCTGCTGTGAGGGCTACTTGATGGACTCGAAAACGCAACAGTGTGGAATACAAAGTAGGTTGGACAACTGGACCTTTCATGAGTAAGTCATTCAACGATTTCCCTGTCGAACCTATAGTAGATGCATCAAACACTACTCGTAACTTCGTGGTTGTGCTGGTGCTTTTGAAGACTGCATGGTGGGGTATGTAATATCCGTTGGATTGGGTTTCATTGAACTGTCCAATTTTTTCCATGTGCCCCAACTTCAAGTACTCCATCAAAAAGTTGTCGTATTCATTTGACAACCCCTTGTCTTTGATCAATTTTTGTTCGAGATTAAGAAAACGTTTCCTAGCTATAATGCTTGTATTTCCTATGCACAAAGGATGTTCTTTCAGCGGAAGTCGAACCACAAATTGTCCTCTTTCATTTCTACGAGTGGTTTGTGTGAAATGTTGTTCCACAGATTCTTCCTCTTCGCATAACCGTCTTGACACTGCCGATGTGAATAACGATAATGCAGAGCATTGATTTATGACTGGACGTACCAGCGATAACACAGATGGTTGGGTGAGGACTTTACCCACCAAAATCCAACCAAACACAGTGTCCTGGAAAGCAGCATGCTCTGATACAAAGTGTTTATCTTGTCTTAAAATCTCAAAAAATATTTCAGCACCAAGGAGCATGTCGACAGACCCAGGTTTGCTGTATTCAGGATCAGCTAAATTTGATTGTATTTCACGAGGGATGTTTAATTGATTTGTGTCAAACCTCTGTGTTGGAAGGTCGCCAGTGATGGTAGGTAATACATGAAGTTGCACCTGGAACTGTGTTTGGACAAACCGAGACTGCACTGTACCCAAACAACATTTGCTGGTAGATGATCGTGACTGCCCGATGCCAGTAATAGGAACCGTATTGTTGACTATCTGTAACCCGAGGCGTCGAGCCAGTTTGTTAGTGATAAAACACAATTGAGATCCTGAGTCAAGTACTGCCCTGCAACGCATCACGTTACCTGATGAGTCATTCACATGGACCACAACTGTAGCCAATATAACCTGAATAGTAGGCTTACAATGTACTGTTCTGTTTACCATACCACAACCGACTACATTGGGTGATGCGCTACTTGACCCCTGATCTGACTGGTTATCGTCATTGCGTGGCTCATCTGTCTCTTGCTCTCCATAGCTGAGGTGCAACAAAGTGTTGTGTCTTTTTCCACATTGGGTGCATGATGACGATCTGCATTGACGCACTTGGTGATCAGATCGCAAGCAGTTGAAACAACACCGATTCTTGAACACAACATCTCTGCGTTCCTCAACTGACAAATTTTTAAATTTCATACATTGAAATAAGTAATGCTCAGAGTTACAGGAGATACACTTAGGTTTGCTCTCGTTATATTTGGCAAACAGAATTTTCTTGTCGTTAAATTTAGAGAGTTTCTGTTTGTTGAACGATGATGGGATCAACTTTGCAGGCACTGGGTTGGAACCACCCTTGTGGCTGTTCATTTCCCCAGCTTCATAAGCAGCGATTCTATTAAACAAGAACGATTCGATTTCAGTAAAAGATGGCAAGTCCTTTTTGTTATAATGTAGCTGCCATTCGGCAACTGTGGCGCTGTCCATGCGACTACAGATCAACGTTACTAACCAAGCATCCCAAGAATCTACTGGTTGAGTTGCAGCCCTTAGCGCGTTGACATTAGACATGATGTGATGATGAAGATTTTGTAGCTCTGTGGCTGACGCAGTAAGTACTCTTGGTGTGTCTAAGAGTGACCGAATGTGTGATTGAATAATGGCACCCTTATTCTCATATCTGTTAACTATTGTATTGTATGCTTGTAAATAGTTTTCACCAATAGTAGGGATTGAACTAATAACCTCACGAGCCTGTCCTTGTAAGCAACTCTTTAAATAGTACAACCGTTGAACTGGGAGCAAATCCTTGTTTTTGTGAAACATAGCATTAAATGAATCTATGAACGACGTCCACATCTGCCAATCACCGTTGAATTTTGGTGCATCAATTGGCGGAAGTCTCATTGCACTAACGCCATCAAGTCTTGTCACTTCACTAATTGATGGAGCACTTGAACCTTTCTCCTGCTTGGACTCCAAAAGACTCATTAAGGATGCTTTGACACTGAACATAAGATCTTTGTGTGTCAATCGTTCTGAAACACGTTGCTCATCAGGTACATGTTCCTCAAGGTTCTCTAATTCGGTTTGAAGCAGTTCAAATCTTTCAGCAACCTCAGGCAAGGATTCGATTCTTGCACGCACCTCATTGATGTTACCAGATGACACATCAAACTGAGAGCTGAATGATAATAATGCTGCGAGTTCAGAGGCGATGACCTTAAGTTTCCTATTAACCGCTTTGGCCGTCATACCTGATTTTACAAAGAAGTGTTATGCACCAAGTGCTTATCTCACAATAGAAAAAATAAAAAACAACAAGTTAACAAATTACAAGATTAACGATCCACTCACGGCGAATGTTGACTGACTCTTACTGACAGTGTAGATTAGACTTAATTTGGCTTACAAGACAATAATTGGATGACTTACAAATAAACAATTGACACTGTCAGTCTATGATTTACAACTTTTGATTGTTACAGTGATTAACTAAACTACAATGACCTATAAACCACCAGAGGGACACAACAAACAACCTATTACACTTACACTATTAACTTAACAAACAACTTGATAAAGAAATAAATGTATCACGTCGAGGTCACCAAAAATGAATGCGCGCTCAATGATTGGTGTATCAAGTGAAACACCAAGTACACCCTCGCGCCTGTGAATAATAATGTAATAACAAGTAAGGTAATAATGTAACGTTTATTGAGACCCTCTAATGGTTACAACACCTAAGAAATGAACAAAAGTCTGACTGGCTAATAGAGTTACTAGAACCATGTGCCTGTTGGCATTTACAATAATAATAATACAATGTGCCTGTTGGCATTTACAATAAGAATAATACAATGTGCCTGTTGGTATTTACAATAATAATGATACAATGTGCCTGTTGGCATTTACAATAATAATGATTCTACAATGTGCCTGTTGGCATTTACAATAATAATAATACAATGTGCCTGTTGGCATTTACAATAAGAATAATACAATGTGCCTGTTGGCATTTACAATAATAATGATTCTACAATGTGCCTGTTGGCATTTACAATAATAATGATACAATAATGACTAGAATAATATGCATAAATGGTCGACCAATACTCACACTCACATACAGGCAACAAAACTGAAGCTGAGACGGGCACGCTGTGACCACACCACTGCCTTTATTCATAAACACAAATCACAACACCAAACGCAGCTGCCATGATCAATCCTAAAGGGGGAAAAGGCTGTCAGAAATTGTTGTACTACTAGCTAATGTTACCCAAAGAAGAACTGTAGAAGCACCGAATCCATATATGATGGTATGATATATGAGTGTGTAGTACTCAGAACATGTGGTTTTCGGTCGGTGGCACCACCGGAACCCACAACAGTTGAAACGTGTTTTTTTGAACGGCAGTTGAAACAGTGTCATATATCAAAAGTGCTCAGAGTCGAGCTTGACTTCAAATGAATTTGGCAAACCAGTGCCAGAAAGCTTAACACACAAAATATGGTGGTTTTTCGCAAACATCACCACAACATAACACACCAGATAACAAAACACACACATGATAACACAACAAAAGTGATAAGCACCGTCTCACACACACAACACCACACTGACCCTGTTTGCGGCGCAAACACATAGCTTAAAAAATAAAAAAATTAGACCCACCCTTTAAAGGGTATTTCTTCATCAATTTGCGTATACTTTCATAAGACGTCGGCCGGTCACTTCACCCCGGGACACATTGTATAGAACATTCAATAAGATAATAACCATAATTATCAATATTCCATTGGTAAAAACTAATAACTAGGTATAATAATTACCTATCGTCCGTTTCTAGTATATGCCATAATATGCCGTAAACAATATTTATAGGGGAAAAAAACCAATACAAAATGTCAAATGTTTACAATGTTGACAATAAATAGCTCAAAAAGAGTCACAGAATATTCTGTGGAGTAGTCGTATAGAAAATTATAAAATAATTAATATACATTTGATGACAATTATTTCAAGGTTCATCATCTACGGTTGTTCGTTTTTGAATTACGACAAAATAACAAACATCGATTGAGCCACATTGAGGAAAAATAGTTCATTTAGTGGTGAATGTCTAATGTCATGAAAAATGACTGTGAATTTCAGGTAAACTTTTTATTTGTTGTATGTAGAAAAACTTTTAAGAAATTATTATCCATAGTTTTCAATTTTCAAATCTTGGATATAAAGTTTGGTTAGTGATAGATTTCTAACAAAACCGGACAATCCCTTTTATTTTTAGGTCACCTTGGTTCTTATATAATATCCTCGAATGACAATAATCTTCTTCTTCTTCGGTTTTAAGAAGGACAATAATAAATTATTATATTATTATATTCTTAATTCGGTCATTGAAATTTAAAAATGGTTCCCGCCACAACATTATCAGTACAGTCACCGCGGTATAACCTACAATAATAAAACGCTCGTGTCGGCGGTTTGATAACAGCAAAACAAAGATTGTAAAATGATTTCATGTTTTCATGTCGGTTGAAGATTTTCTACTATTTAGAAAATTGGTACATATCTCTGCTAAATATAATAATATAATATATATGATAATATTATATTGTACATTGGACATTCGGTAATCGATACAAGCAAGATCACTGAAATCGAAACTCCAATTCGCTTTCTAGTTTTGACTTCTGAAACGGTACACGACTAGTAGGTGACTGTAAGTCTCAAGTCATGAGCGATACGTTATAATTCACAGTCATTCCGTTTGCGTAATTGAAGTTTCCTATACTCACAGATACTCATCCTAGGTTTACCACTATTATTTTTTAGTATTTTTTGATCATGGAATCAATCACCAAAAACGTAAGTACAGACTTTTATTTTTTCTAAAGCGATATATCATTTAGATTATCAAAATCGTATATAGGTATCTATCTACCATCTTTTATAAAAAATTGTTGTACACAGTTCAGTAATGCACAGCTGGGTGACAATAACTCAAATGATCCGACTGCAGAAACTCAAGGCAACACTTCTACCGATGATGACAAAGAATTGCCAGCGTCTGAAAAATCATTATTGCAGAAAATTGTACGTACTGGTCTTATAACATCTAAACATGACATTGAGGTGCAAAGACGGGACCCAAAATCACCATTATTTTCAATCAAATCATTTGAGTTACTTAAACTGTAAGATTTTCAAAATTTAACTACAGTAAAAACTCGATTAACCGTCACTGTCGGGACCAGGACTATGACGGTTAGTAGAAAATCAACCATAAACATATATATCTTACGTTTCTGTATTTTACGGAGAAGTAAGACCTGGATTGTATAGGCTGTTTTTTGAACAATGACGGGTGAAAAAGAGTGACGGTTAAATGTGTTTCTTCTGTATTTTAATATAAATAAAAAATTATGTTAAAAATATTTATTATGTATGCCATTGTTGGGTTGTTTTTGTTTTCATTATTTTTTAGTCATCCAAATTTGCTTAAAGGAGTTTATGAAATGGGTTACAATGCACCGTCAAAGATACAAGAAACTGCATTGCCTTTACTCTTGGCCAATCCGTAAGTCTATATATCATAAAAATATTGCACACAACATAAACTGAAATAATCAAGTCACTGTTACACAACTAAATTGTCTTTGTTTGTATCAATATTTTAATCCAAATATAATTTTATTGATATTTTAGTTTATCTAACTATTAACTAATATATATTTTTAGGTTTAGTTATTCACAGAGACTAAAATATATAATTTATTGCATGTTATAGGCCTCAAAATTTGATTGCTCAGTCACAGTCAGGTACTGGAAAAACAGCAGCATTTGTTTTGGCTATGTTAAGTAGAGTTGATCCTGATTTGCATTATCCGCAGGTAATTTAGACTAGAATATTTTGCAAATGGTGTGTTTATTTATTTAATTCTTTCCAAATTCTTGTGCAGGTAATTTGTTTGTCTCCCACGTATGAATTGGCTATTCAAACGGGAGAAGTGGCAGCAAAAATGTCTTCCTACTGTCCAAACATTAGGCTAAGGTATGCTGTCCGTGGTGAAGATGGTTTGTATTTTTGTGTATAGTTTCTTAATTGTTAAGACAGTATTACATATATTATTAATTTTTAGTTGAAAAAGGTTCCAAAATAGAGGAACAAATAATTGTGGGTACACCTGGAAAAGTTTTGGATTGGGCAACAAAGTACAAATTTTTTAACCCAAAACTTATTAAAGTATTTGTGTTGGACGAAGCTGATATTATGGTTGACACCCAAGGTCATCAAGATCAAAGTTTCCGCATAAGAAAGTAAAACTTCTTCATACCAACATTTTTATTTAAATTAAAAATTTTAATTTCATATTAAGGTTACTACTAGAAACATGCCAAATGATGTTTTTTTCGGCAACATATACAGAAGATGTTATGAGGTTTGCTAATGCTATTGCACCTATGTCTGTCATCATAAGATTAAAACGCGAGGAAGAGACATTAGATAATATCAGACAATACTATGTCAACTGCAACAATAAAGAAGATAAATACAATGCATTAGTTAATATTTATGGAGGAGTGACTATTGGACAAGCTATGATCTTTTGTCAGGTAATTAAAGCAAAATATTAATATAAGTTAATAACGGTTTGTCATTGTGCATTGGTGATTATGTTGTATCTAAGCATTTATTTATCGTAAAGGAAAATTTCATAAATTTAATTTATAAAGGATATAAATTTAATTATCTGTTATTGATAGCCACTTTTTAAAATTTATTTTGAATGAATTATTAATCAAAAATATTTGGTTTTGCTTTTTTTAAATATTTCATTCCTTTTTTTTTTAATCTATTTATCCAGTACTCATCTAATATAAAACAATAAAGTAAGTTACATATTTTGCATCTAATAATTTTTATCTTTATCACATTCAACACCACTGATGTGTTAACCACAGATTTCTATATAATACTCTGTCCAGCGAGAGAACGCGCCGATTCTGCGCATTTCCCCGCGTCTCCTTGCTATCGAAACCGGTTCCCCTATGGCAGAGTGTTGTGCGGGGTAACCAGTTTTGGTCGGTGCGCGGCGCGTTCTCTCGCTGGACAGAGTATAGTACTAGATAGCGAACTCCCGTCATGAATTGAAGCTTCAAGATCGGTTGGCAATTGTATGGTATTTCATATGTCAAATAAGATGATATTATGATTTATTTTGAATCGTATTTTATTATTTCTAATCATGTTGTTTAAAAAAAAAAAAATATTTTATATGAGTCATTTTACATTTACTATTTTATTTGACCATTAAAAAAAATATTATTACTTATACATGTTGTATAATAAATGAAATGTTTTGCCAACCAACAAAATGGCGGCCGTCCACAGCTGAGCTTCACTTGTAACAATGTGAATTGTAAAGGAGTTCCTTATCTAGTGTAGTACAGAAGTCTGTGGTGTTAACACACCACTGCTTATTCAATATGTTTAGTCAATGATGCTTATTGTTAAATCCTACCGACATGTTTATGCATCAATGGCCCACAAAATCAACTAATCAATATATTTCTTTTTATATGTATTTCACCTCAATGGCTACCTTAAATTTCTATAAGTTTCAATTAAATGTACATGTTTTATAAAATGATTTTGAAATGAGATAGAACTATACTTAACTGGTGGCACTCTGGAACAAATTAGTTATGAAACGTTAATATGACACCTGCAGAGTTAATTAATAATATGTTGATTTAAGGGGAATCGATATTGTGATTTTCTGTTTTTGTCCAACACACACCTGACATAGTATTTTAGATGTGTTTTTCGCCAAACATGATCTAACAAAGTGATAAGAATTCTGAAAACAGATTTGAATTTGTTGTCAAGTCTACTTGAAATTGACTTTCCCACATTTTTGATATTATTATCCCCCAAATTCCTAAAAATTTCATATTAAAAAAAGAGTATTTAAACATTTTTTGTATTTCAATTTTTAAGAAGTTAAAATTAAAAAATTAAAAATATGGGAAAGTCGATTTCAAGTAGACTTGACGACAAATTCAAATCTGTTTTTAGAATTTTCATCGCTTCATTAGATCAATTGGTATGTTTGGCAAAAAACACGTCTAAAATACTATGACTTAATACGGTAACATAAATTATTATTACTATGACAAAGTTTATTACCTACAACATGTTAATTGAAATATTCTGTATTTCAAAAATTATATAATGATCCAATATCTCCCAACATAGGATATTTAATATTTATTTGTTATCATAATTTTGTGGATATTTGACTAAGTTACTTACATTTTTTTGAAACCCAAAACCCATACTTCAACCTAAAATGTATATAATCTAATAAATTACAATAATTCAATATTGATAAAAATAAAATATTTTTTATTTATAAAATTATAAAGTTTTATGTATTTGTATAAACTAATATTTTCTAAGATGTTATTCATAGACATAATTAAATTTGGTTAAAAATCTGGGAGGAGCTAGAAATCTCAATTAAACTATTCATTATACTTTAGGCGTTTTAGGCATCTGCCCAACTCCCAACCCCACAATTTACGCCTATAATGTTAATAACAATTAAATCATATCATGAATAAGAGAAAATAGTAATAATATATAAGCATGTAATTTGAATGGCCTTATATGTACTTTGTGGTCGTAAGTCTTAACTAATTATACTTAACAATCACATAATTTCAATATTAGTAGACTGATTGATACATTGTGTTATTTTATCAAGAGCTATTTGTTTTTTATCAAGGATAATTTTTTTAAGTGATTTACATTTTGTTAGCTCTTTGTATGAGATTTCTTGAATTTTATTTTCTCTCAGATCTAAAACTTCTAGATTATTCAGAGCAGGAAAATTGTCCAAGTTCGTTAGTTTACAATTCTTCAGTGATAATTGTTCACACATAATTAAATATTTTAAATGATTTAAATTGCTGTGGGATAAATCATTATCACTCAAATCAATATTTTTGTTAAATAGAAACATGTGCATATGATAAAACGCTGTTAATCCATATCCTTTCAAATTAACACTATCCATATTATTGTTATTATTGTTAGCAATCCAATGTTCAATTTGGTACCGGCTTTCGAGGTCATGATAATAATTTTTCCTTTTTGTATCTAGTTCTTTTAATAATTTAATGTTTTCAAGACAATTTTTAAAATAGTTATTCGGTTTTAATGTGTAAAGAAGTAACACATAAGTTAGTAAAGCCCACTTGCTTTCTGGCTCCATATCTAACAGTTGACGTAAACTGTCCAGTTGTCCATTTAAAACAAGTCGAAGCTGTTCACTAATATTAAGATTAAATATATTTTGTTGAACATTATCTATTGATAGATTATCTATTACTTGGTTTACTTCATCAATAATCTGTATTTTGGTACTGCCGACATTGTCTACTGTTTTATACCAAATTTTTGAATCGAATTGTTCCCAATTTGTTTCTCCTAATCCAATAATTTTATAATTATTTGGTAATTTTCTGTTTAGTATGAGATAAATTTCATTTTTTATTTGAGAAACTTTGTATATAAACTTGGATGGTTCTAGTTTTCCTATAAGCCATCGCTGATATATCCAAGCACTTTGATCTGAAGGATCAGTAAATGCTGCGCTTTCCACCAATGATAATTCTGAAATTTTGGTAGATTCTTCATCTTTTCCTGCAGCACTGAAAAGTTTTGATCGATAATGCCATGCAGAATAATTTGAAAAATTTGCCTCAATCATTTCCATAGTAAATTTCAATTCATTTTCATTTGGTTCTTGACACTTAGATGCAACAATTTGTCGGTAATCCCAGCAATGAAAATTTCTTTCGTCTATTTTCAAATACTTTGTACATAGTTGCAATTCTTTATTCCAATCTGGACTAGGATCTACATTATCTAGAAGCCAATTTCGGTGATACCATGCTGAATAAGATTTTGGATTTACTTGTAAACATTTTTCAGTTAAATAAAGTTCATCGTTAATTATTTCTTCAGATGGTTTCAGATGTAGTAGTATTTCTTTTCTATAATTCCATATAGTAACAATATCAGGATTGGATCGTAATAGTCCTTCAGATGATTTCAATGCTAAAACATCATATTCATTACGAGACCGGCGCTCAAATACATCATTGATAGTATTTCGATATAATTGAAGTTTTTTTTCTTTTTCTCGATCTGCAGCAGCTTTTTGTGCTTCAGTTGTACGTACTTTTAGTCGGTTATGCATATTCTATAAAATTAACCTAAAAATTAAAATAATAAAATCATTATGTACACATCATATATTGTTCTTATTTTATAATAATACCTAACTAAAATTAATTATATTTGTTAAATTTTAATTTTAAAATGTTTGATGTGATAATTATTAAAATATACACTTAAGTTAAATAACAAATTGGTAACAAGGCATACAATAATTTACAATAGGTGACGTCTATTGAAGTATACAATATACCTAATGTAGTTTCATACTAAAACATAAATACAATGAACAAATCTCACCTTAAAAAAATATTCACTAATAAATGTTAAGTTTTTAGAAGAAACAAATATTGTTCAATAAATAATTATTTTACTAAAACTACTTTAAAATTAATATCCAAAATAATAATATCGTAATTTACTACTCAGTGATAAGAAAAAAGATAAATTTCAGTGTTGCCATTTCGCCAAAAGTTACACAGTGAAAAAAAATATATTATTGTATGCAACACTTTTATAACATTTATTTAAAAATGGACATCACACTTGTAAGTTGTAAGTAGAAAATTAAAAGTTTTAGGGCCGTTTGTTCTTACAATGTCCAATAAAGTGTCGGAAACGCTAACCGACTGAAAACAGATTTTATTACCTACAGAATTCGATTAAATGTCGGTTAACTTTAACAGTACAAGAACGGCCCTTAGTTGTATGTCTTGGATACAAATTTAAATTTTATTTTGCTTCAAATGATATATGTTTCAAATTAAACATAAATTAGTAATAATTAAAATGTTTATTTATATTTTGATTTTTGACTTTTGATAATAATAAATTGTTAATTTAAAAAAAAAAAACTGGTACCACGTCATAATAAATCTGTTAAAGCCTTTTAAAAAGTTTTAAAAATTGTACTTTATCAATTTATGTACTATATGTTTTCAGTATCAAAAAATGAATTAATGTTATATTGTACTTGTAGTGCGAGTTGTAGTATAAGCATCTATAAATTATATGCATAAAAGTTTCAATATTGATTAGAACAAAAGTTATTTCATTTGTCAGGTCTTTCTATTACATCTTCTATTACATCATTCTAGCTTATATAGTATATATGATAAAACTTTGCCCTCATATCGAATTACCCACTGCTGGTGGCAGAATAACCTTGGGCTTTTGGTTAGCTGATTTTATATACTTTTATATAGTTTGGTCTCCTTAATTCTAATCTTCTTGCTATAAACATTGTTGATAGTATAGTATTACTTTTGGTATTTGGAACTACTGAATTTTGCCTTTTTTAAATTAAGTAATATGCTGTATAACGTGTTACCTATATAAATAATAGCTGTCTAACCAGACCCGCCATTAGGATACAAGCAAGTTATGCAATGTTTTAGAGCGGCTTAAATTTTTTTAAGAAAATTGTAGCGGTAAAATGAAATATAATTTTTGCTTTAGAGCAGAAAATGTCTAACAACAAACCTATCTTTTACCTAGATACTTTTTTTTTTTTTATAATGTTATGGTAAAATCAGATGGATGGCGCCAATTATTTTCCTATCACCTCATTTGGTTTTATTGAGTAGGAGTTGTGTTGGTCGTCAACATAACTATTTTATATAAATAAGATATATTATATAATTTATATCTTTAGTAATAAATATTACAGCATGACAATTAATTATTTGTAATATTTGTTTATATTATTTAATAACATTTTGTTTTTGTTTTAGACAAAAAAAATGGCTTTATGGTTAGTTAATCAAATGGCAGAACAAGGACATGCTGTAGCTTTATTATCTGGTGAACTCACGGTCCAACAAAGAATATCTGTTTTGGACCGTTTCCGCGAAGGAAAAGAAAAAGTTCTGGTTACTACAAACGTGTTGTCTAGAGGTAATAAGGATCAGTGGCGTAGCAAATCATGTCTTTCAGAAGCAATTGCTTCTGGTTTCTGGGGGGAGGGGTCATAACCTCATAAAGCCCACATACGCGGTCAGTCTTTGAACTTTATTTTGGGTGCTACCAGACCCCCTATTTGGGCATATGAGTATCGTATACATCAGTTCGAGTTGGGTGGGGTAGGTCATACATAATTTGTTTGCTTCCATATGATTTAAAGTTCGCTATGCCACTGATAAGCATCATTATTTTGTTTCTTATACTTATTTATTTTAAACTTCAATTTTATTATTTTAGGTATTGATATTGAGCAAGTCACGATTGTTATTAATTTTGATTTGCCCGTGACAGTCACTCGTGATCCTGATTTTGATACATATTTACACAGAATAGGACGTACTGGTCGTTTTGGTAAAAAAGGTATTGCCATTAACCTTGTAAGTGGTAGTTCGGATCATTTTGTATTGAAACAAATTGAAGAACATTTTTGTAAACCTATTGAATGTTTGAATACCGACAATGCAGATGATATGGAAAAATTGGGAGCCGAAGATTGATTTTTAATAATTATCTGTAATATTTTTTCTTTATTATTTTTTACTTAAAATTGTATTACAAATGATGAAACATTAAAATCTGTATTAAGAGAGTGATGTTACCTTGATAAATATTTGCTTTTTTACCTTAATAAAAATTTACATTCAAAATCTTTTCTGCAAAAGTTGTTTTTATAATAATTTATAAATAAAAAATAAAAATAATTTTATCATTATAAGTGAACATTTTTATATTAAATACTTAAGAATTTTTATTTTTAAGTTATGTGACATCGAAATTTTTACATTTTGTAAACATTTTGATAAAATAAATAAATTAAGATTCATTTAATTTCAATGAACAAATGATATGATATTTAAATCAACTGCTTGAAAAAACAAATATATATGTTTACTTATTTATTTTATCTAAAGATCATTTTCATACCATTGTTTGCTTAACACATTCGCTGCATAAAATGCCAATATTGGCATTATGTTCAACAAGGTTGTTATTAAATGCACTACAATTTGGTCAGCGTTACGACTAAACTTTTTGTTTTATATTCTATATTTTGCTGTCCAGTTTTATAATTTATTGACCATTGTGAATAACTCTAATATTAGAGTCCATGTTTAGTCTTAGTTAAAAGTATATAATAGTATGTATATTTACTAACTTTTTATTACTTTTTAAAAAAATTGGTAGGTAGGTAACTGATAATACATCTGATTTTAAATTTGTTGAGTAAGACTTGCAACACGTTATGAACACTTTTATCAGTGACAATACAAAATAAAAATGAAATCCAGAGTAAAAAAAATTATTTTGTTTTATTATTATTTATAATAAAAATGGGCATATAATATGAATAGGCGGATGTTGGCAATGCTCTACTGTGTTATTTTTTAATAAAATGTATGGTGAGGCTCCAGCCCAGGTATTTTATTTTTGTGTAACTGCAACGTGTAAGTGACCCAACCTAACCTGGTAGGTACCTAAAGCTATACATTTTTTGTATTAAGTAAATGCTAACAAAATATTATATTATTATAATTCAATTAATGTACTTCTCATTCAAATCAGTTCCATTCACCCCTACCAACTAGAAACGTAAATATTAAGTTTTGTTTTTCACAATTCGAGTTAGTATACTATTAGCATAACCCCCAAATAGGATTTTTCCCAAACTTAATAATATAATCGTAAGCATGTTTTAATATGTTATTGTACAATATAATAACTACATATTGAATCGTTATTCTAACAAAACAAACAATTAATGTATTATCAAAAGATTTTATTTTTGTTAAGAGGATGCTACCCATACATTTGTTGTGTCCGTCTTACACACTACAATATAGCAAATTTTCGTTCACTAGTTTCAATAGTGTGCTGTTAGTTTTGATATTAGAGTGATTCGACCTATCATACATTTTTTAGATAATAACATTATCTGTGCTTAAGCGTATGCTTTTATTCGATATTTTAATTTTCAAGCGAGATATGAGCATTTTTAATTTTTGGTATTTCACATACCCATATCTTGCTTGAAAATGAGAATTTCAAAAAATCGGCAACTGTTAAGCACAGATACTGTTCTTGCCTAAAAGTTTTATAATAGGTCATTTCACTCTAGTATCAAAACTAACAGCACACTATTGAAACTAGTGAACGGCAATTTGCTATGTCGTGAGTGTGTAAGACGGAGACAACAAATGTATGTGTAGCGTCCTCTTAAAAGTTGTTTGTACAAATTCCGAAACTCCCAACCTATCCAATGTACCAGGTACTGAGCCACTGAGGTATACCTAGGTACTAAATAGTGTACCGGTTACAATTTACATTACACATTTACGTATGTGTCACATAGTGGCTTAGACAAGGGGGGGGCGTGGGGGGTCAGATCCCCCTATTGGCTTTTTATTACCTTAGTAAAAAGTTTTGAGAGAGTGGGGATTTTCCAATTTATCCCTCCTATTAGGTTTGTCGTTTTTTTTTTTTTTTTTTGATCCCCCCCTTTCAGAAATCATGTCTACGCCACTGGTGTCACACCGGTTTAGGAATCTGCACAATCAAAACAAGGTCTGTGTTGAATTGTGAGATTTCCGGTTTAAGAAGTAGTTTTTAAAGTGCGAAAAAATCATAGGGTAACTTATTGTCTAAAGACACTAAAAACATAAAAGCGACCTTGGAATTATAATTTTTTTTTTTCATATATCAATTTTGAACCATAAATAGGTTCAATAAACTTCCTACCTTTTTATTATTTTTAAATAACTACTTTTTACCTATGTAGTTCTAAAGAAACAAAGTATTTACTTGGTATTTACAATATGTGATATTTGGACAATAATTTATTTAAGCAAAAATGACTTAGGTACTAGATAGAATAACAGATATTGAACTGATATCATGATCACAAGTAGAGGGAATAACCCTTTTAGTAATAACCTATATTGACCATATCGCTTGACTCTTGGTTCTTCTGTGTTCATAAAAAATGTTTAGGTATGTAAACTATAGTTGTATATTATACAATATTCTTCTTAAATCATAACCAAAATATTTATGTCTTGAAAA